GGGCCTGCACAACTCAAAATGTAAGGCGGGCCTGCACAACTCAAAATGTAATGCGGGCCTGCACAACTCAAAGTGTAAGGCGGACCTCCACACCTCAAAATGTAAGGCGGGCCTGCACACCTCAAAATGTAAGGCGGCCCTGCACACCTCAAAATGTAAGGCGGGCCGTAATACTTTATGAAAAGCTTGTGCGGGCCGAAAGATGATAGGACAGGGGGAAAGCTATTAAGAAAATAATAGTAATAAAGAATATTTCGTTTCTTCGCGGGCCGCCAAGTGGATGCTGGCGGGCCGTATGTTGTGCGGGCCTAGTGAAGAAGAGTAAGGGCAACATAGGTGGTAGAAGTTTGGGTTCAAGATGGCTGGTAGAATAGTGAGGCAACATAGGTGTGAGTGAGGCAAAAATAGTTGTAGAATTAAGAGTGAGGCAACATATGTGTAGAAGAGTGAGGCCACATGGGTGTAGAAGAGTGAGGCAACATAGGTGTAGAAGAGTGAGGCAACAAATGTGTAGAAGAGTGAGGCAACATAGGTGGTAGAAGTGTGGGTTCAAGATGGCTGGTAGAATAGTGAGGCGATATAGGTGTAGAAGAGTGAGGCAACATGGGTGTAGAAGAGTGAGGCAATATAGGTGTAGAAGAATGACGCAATATAGGTGTAGAAGAGTGAGGCAATATAGGTGTAGAAGAGTGAGGCAACATAGGCGTAGAAGAGTGAGGCAATAAAGGTGTAGAAGAGTAAGGCAACATAGGTGTAGAAGAGTGGGGCAAAAATAGTTGTAGAAGAGTGAGGCAACATAGGTGTAGAAGAGTGAGACCACATAGGTGTAGAAGAGTGAGGCAACATAGGTGTAAAAGAGTGAGGCAACATAGGTGTAAAAGAGTGAGGCAACATAGGTGTAGAAGAGTGAGGCAACATAGGTGTAGAAGAGTGAGGCAACATATGTGTGGAAGATATGGGCAATATGGCTGAAGACATTTTTTGGAGCTTGAAGCATGAGAGATTTTAAGCGGGTGGTGTTTGGAAATGTTTGACAGTTGTTGACAGGGGGGGGGGGGGTTAGATTAGTTGACGTCAACAATCATCTTTTCTCAATTAAAATTTTAATTTTAAAAGTTGAATGGATGTTCCATTAATTTTTAAAAAATTGAAGCATGAGAGATTTTAAGCGGGTGGTGTTTGGAAATGTTTGACAGTTGTTGACAGGGGGGGGGGGGGTTAGATTAGTTGACGTCAACAATCATCTTTTCTCTATTAAAATGTTAATCTTAGAAGTTGACTGGATGTTACATTAATTTTTAAAAAAATTATAAGTGTAAATGAGTGTAAATTGTCATATTATTTTTAGGCTTTTAACAATATAAGATTTACTTGTGTCTGTCTGTGCACTGCAGATGGCTGGTCAGACTGTTAGCACACTTCGTTAGTGCAAGAGAAGTCAAAAGTTGGCTCTCTTCACCTGTAGATTCTGTTGCAGGTATGGAACAAGGACAAGGCTCAAGTTTCAAGTTCAGCCAAGATAAATGATGTATAAATTCGTATAGAATACGAATACGATATTTTGAGACTGCATCATCATCATCATGTCCCTTAGTCCTTGGACCGTTGGGGCGCTACAGATGGCATGAGAATTAGGTGATTGTAAAGTGAGTAACAATAATA